GACCCTTAATTATATTTTCTCTATAGCGCCAGATCACAACAGAAGTAATTTAAAGTTACCTTTCCTATAGAACAGGTCTATACCTTGTTCTTTTATTAAGCAAACTAAATAGCCTTGTTATTTATCTTATTTACACGACAGCATGACATTTCGGTCTCTATGTTACATGGTCGCGCTCTCTGCATCACGCACAGCGGAGTTCTGCCCCGAAGCGCGCGCGCGCACACACACACACACAAGTGAGCCCACTCCCACTAGTATTTGTAAATATTAAGAATTTCTGAGCAAAAAAATCACAAGGTTATTGTAAGAATAAATGAAACTTTTTTTATGCTTTCAAATAATTAGACATGCTAAAACAGAATTTGGTAAAAATAAAGCATAAGGTTGGGAAAATAAAACATTTCATAGGGCCCTAAACATGTAATATTTGTTAAACTTTTAATAAATTGATGTTAAATTGCTTAAGTTTCATGATTTTAATTAATTCGACATGCTTTTTGATTAATAAAATGTAATTTAACCATTCAAAAGGAGTCCAGAAAAATAAAAAGCCGTAAACCTAGGGGAAACACTGAACTACAATAATCATAATTATCGTAGATAAAAAAATATAATAATTACAACATTAACAATTCTGCTCATGGTTACAAGTATCATTATTGGCATGAATACAGTTTTTAACTACCAAGTCAGGAACTCATAATAATGGTTGTTAACTACGAAATGACAGGAAATAAGAATACAAATAAGAAGAATAAGAATAAGAATAATAAAAATCAAGTGCTCTGATTTGCTGATTTTGCTGTGAATTACAACTTGACAAATTGCTTTTGTTCCTCTTATGTAAGACGCTTTGCATCTGCTAAATGAAAAAATGTAAACAAATTAGGTGGAATTTTTTGTATTAGGTGGAATAACATAAAAGAGACCCAGTGTTTCTGCAGGTCAGTCAGTTGGTGCTCCTTTTTCATTTCCTGGAGACGCAAATGTAAGTAAATGAGTGACACTGATCACGTGACTGTTTAAAGGTGCGTCGTTGAACTGAAGGACAAACTTTACCTCTGTCTGTTCCACGTTTTCGCTAGAAATCATAAATGCCATAAACACGTGTTGCTGTGATTGATTAAAGTCATAATTGCTCTGCTGATAGTGAGTGCTAAACACTAGCACGAGGACACCTCAGGAAGCGTCTTATGAGTGTGTGTTTATGGGACATGTCCAAGGCAGAGCAGGAGTTTCCAGGAATGTTGTCAGTGTCGACACTCCCGTACGAGAGCGCGCTCAGCTCTGCCAGAACATGCCCTCGTCTCTCTGTCTCTACAGAGCAGAGATAGCGCAAACACGCAGGTCCGGACAGGCCTTCCTCCTCCGCCAGTGTTTCAGCGCACAGCTGCTGCGTGCTATTCTCCAAACACAGGACGGGAGTTTACTTTCTGAACACATCCAGACCACTGCGGGTCTATCAGTGTCACATCAAGTCCTGAGACACTATACAGCACCCAAAAAAACTAACTTTATTATCAGAGCTGTGACGTAGCCGTCTGAACTAAATGTGACGACACAAAACTCAAATTCACATTCTACATGCACAAAGAATGATAATGACTATGACTGTCACAAGTAGGGCTGGGTATCGTTTGAATTGTATCAATTCCGATTCCGCTTATCGATTCCAAATCTTATCGATTAGAATAAGATAAAAAAGTCAAATATTTATGTCAACCATAATATTCTGTCTTTTTAAAAAGTGCTCTGTTGCAACATGAGCAAGCAGCCTATAGAACACTTTTTTTTACACTTTTGCCTGTGGTTTTAACAAAAACATACCACTGCAAAAACAACTAGACTAATATAAATTTCAAACATTAAATTGTTAAAGACAAGTACACAGTCAGTAATAAAACAGGAACAAACATATCAATTAGCAATGGCATAAATAAATACAACTGAACAAATTTCATGCATAGAAATCGCAGAAGTTTAAAAACACTATAGTTTTAAAATTAAGAACACGGAATGTCATGGAATGTCACATTTTGGATGAATAAATCAAAAGCAGGTCATTACACAAATCAAATCGCGATATCGACTAGAATCTGTAAATATTAAGCCGCAATAATATGCGTGTATTAAATATGTATGTAAATGTACATACTACTACTACTTCTACTACTAATAAACTTATTAAAACTTTATTTTTTAAGGAATAATCACACATTTCTTCCATGTTTTAATTTTAATGTTTACACTTTTGCCTGTGGTTTTAACAAAAACATACCACTGCAAAAACAACTAGACTAATATAAATTTCAAACATTAAATTGTTAAAGACAAGTACACAGTCAGTAATAAAACAGGAACAAACATATCAATTAGCAATGGCATAAATAAATACAACTGAACAAATTTCATGCATAGAAATCGCAGAAGTTTAAAAACACTATAGTTTTAAAATTAAGAACACGGAATGTCATGGAATGTCACATTTTGGATGAATAAATCAAAAGCAGGTCATTACACAAATCAAATCGCGATATCGACTAGAATCTGTAAATATTAAGCCGCAATAATATGCGTGTATTAAATATGTATGTAAATGTACATACTACTACTACTTCTACTACTAATAAACTTATTAAAACTTTATTTTTTAAGGAATAATCACACATTTCTTCCATGTTTTAATTTTAATGTTTGCAAAAACAAATAAAGTTTGTATCATTTTCAGTAATTAAAAGACAAATAAATGAAATTATTTTATGTCTTCATTTGATATCCAGTAAAATTAAAACACACAACAGCATTTCTGAGGAAAATAAAAACATTTTCTAAGGCTATTGTAAGAATAAATTTTAATAAATTAAGTTGTTTTTACGCATTCAAATAATTAGACATGCTACAACAGAATTTGGTAGCAATAAACCTATGGTGAGAAAAAATTAAATATGGCCCTAAACATGTAATTTTTGTTAAACTTTTAATAAACTGATGTGAAATTATGTAAGTTTCATGATTTTAATTAGATAGACATGCTTTTTGATTAATAAAATTCAATTTAACCATTAAGAAGGAAATTAAAATGGAAAAAACTGAATTTTGAAAAAAAATAAAACTGATTTCATAGGGCCCTATTTTATTATTACATTTCATTTTATTTGCTTTGTCTACATTCATTCACTCATTTTATTCAATCGCAGCCACAAATCCAGGATTCGTTCCTTCATTTTATTAATTCACGGTCACGAATCGAGAATTTGATACCTCCTTTTATTGAATCGCGGCCATAAATCCAGGATTCATTCCTTCGTTTTATTAAATTGCCGCCAAGAATGCGGATTCATTGATTCGTTTTATTGAATCATAGCCACAAATCCAGGATTCGTTCCCTTCTTTTCTTATTCAATCGCGGCCCCAAATCCAGGATTCGTTCCTTCATTTTATTGAATCGCGGCCAAGAACGAGGATTCATTCACTCATTTTATTGAATCGCGGTCAAGAACGAGGATTCATTCACTCATTTTATTGAATCTTATAAAGCCGTGAACAAAAAAATATATATTGAGAGTTTGTTTCCTTGTTTCCTTTTTCTATTGAATTGCGGTCACAAATTGAGGATTCGTTCCTTCGTTTTATTAAGTCACGGTCACGAATCGAGAATTTGATCCCCCGTTTTATTGAATCGTGGCCAAGAGCGAGGATTCATTCATTCACTCATTTTATTCAATCGCAGCCACAAATCCAGGATTCGTTCCTTCATTTTATTAATTCACGGTCACGAATCGAGAATTTGATCCCTCCTTTTATTGAATCGCGGCCATAAATCCAGGATTCATTCCTTCGTTTTATTAAATTGCCACCAAGAATGCGGGTTCATTGATTCGTTTTATTGAATCATAGCCACAAATCCAGGATTCGTTCCCTTGTTTTCTTATTCAATCGCGGCCCCAAATCCAGGATTCGTTCCTTCATTTTATTGAATCGCGGCCAAGAACGAGGATTCATTCACTCATTTTATTGAATCGCGGCCAAGAACGAGGATTCATTCACTCATTTTATTGAATCGCGGTGAAGAACGAGGATTCATTCACTCATTTTATTGATTGACGGTGAAGAACGAGGATTCATTCACTCATTTTATTGAATCGCGGTCAAGAACGAGGATTCATTCACTCATTTTATTGAATCGCGGTCAAGAACGAGGATTCATTCACTCATTTTATTGAATCGCGGTCAAGAACGAGGATTCATTCACTCATTTTATTGAATCGCGGTCAAGAACGAGGATTCATTCACTCATTTTATTGAATCGCGGTCAAGAACGAGGATTCATTCACTCATTTTATTGAATCGCGGTCAAGAACGAGGATTCATTCACTCATTTTATTGAATCGCGGTCAAGAACGAGGATTCATTCACTCATTTTATTGAATCGCGGTCAAGAACGAGGATTCATTCACTCATTTTATTGAATCGCGGTCAAGAACGAGGATTCATTCACTCATTTTATTGAATCGCGGTCAAGAACGAGGATTCATTCACTCATTTTATTGAATCGCGGTCAAGAACGAGGATTCATTCACTCATTTTATTGAATCGCGGTCAAGAACGAGGATTCATTCACTCATTTTATTGAATCGCGGTCAAGAACGAGGATTCATTCACTCATTTTATTGAATCGCGGTCAAGAACGAGGATTCATTCACTCATTTTATTGAATCGCGGTCAAGAACGAGGATTCATTCACTCATTTTATTGAATCGCGGTCAAGAACGAGGATTCATTCACTCATTTTATTGAATCGCGGTCAAGAACGAGGATTCATTCACTCATTTTATTGAATCGCGGTCAAGAACGAGGATTCATTCACTCATTTTATTGAATCGCGGTCAAGAACGAGGATTCATTCACTCATTTTATTGAATCGCGGTCAAGAACGAGGATTCATTCACTCACATTCACTCATTTTATTGATTCATTCACTCATTTTATTGAATCGCGGTCGAGGATTCATTCACTCATTTTACTGAATCGCGGCCACAAATCCAGGATTCGTTCCCTTGTATTCTTGTTTCACTGAACTGCAGCCACGAATCGAGAATTTGTTCCCTCATTTTATTCAATCACGTCCATAAATCCAGGATTTGTTCCCTTGTTTTCTTGTTTAATTGAATCGCAGCCCCAAATTCAGGATTCGTTCCTTCATTTTACTGAATTGTGGCCAAGAGCGATGATTTGTTCCCTCGCTTTATTAAATTGCGGTCACGAATCAAGAATTTGTTCCCGCATTTTATTGAATTGTGCCACAGTGTTGCAGTAATTTGCTCCCTCATTTTAATTAATTCAAAAAATGAGGGAATGAATTAGTACATCATGGCCACAATTTAGTAAAATGAGGGTAAGAAGGTCATAATAATGAATTCTCAATTTGTTGCCACAATGTTTGTTAATAAAAGCTCTGTGTTCAATGTAAGGGAGTTTTTCATTGTGCTTTTTTATCATTGTAAGAATATGAATCCACCATTTAAGCATTTGTTTGGTTCAAAGAATGGGAAAGATATAAAGATCTAACGTTCAAGATCAAAGTATGTGCTACAGTATCTTATCTTGTACAAATATCTGATTATGTTCCAAATCACGTACTACACACTATATACTATGTACTCAATCGTCTAGTGCAGAGCTGCACAAACTTTTTAACACAAAGTGCCAAAAACCTTTGAATATTGCATTATATCCAACTAGTCTATATTATATTAAAATGTATTACATTTACATTACATTTTTAACATTTTTAAATAAACAAACAAAAATGGCAGCTGTGCTTGCCAGAACTACTGTACAAAAAAGGGTGGGTTTACGGTTTACAGATTTAAGTTACATTTACAGTAAAAAAAAAAAAAAAAAAAAAGTATTTCATTAACTGATATAATACTAATACACCAATCTACCGAAGTACAAAAAAAAAAAAAAATCACATTTATAACACACTGACAACCACCAAAATCACAGGTGGTAAAGAGAAAACCACATGAGGAATCAAAACTCCAAGCCAATCGCTGCTTTGCTGTTCGTGGTTTCGAGTATCGATACATAGCCCCTTTTAAACCAACCCATGAACGCGCAATTATCTCAGATAACTCAATCCAGCCATACTAATCATCAACAACAGCTGCGTTCGAAGAACCGAATTAGCCAGATCCTGATTAGCGCGATGATATCATCTTGGATGTGACATTTCATCTCGGATGTAATAAGCAATGTACGAAGAACGGGCCCCAGATCTCCACTCAGCCCTGTTTACGCCTGGCGTGTGGAATGAAGTAACAAAACGTTCTTCCGCGACTAGAGGAAGTGCTTTTGGCCTTCAGCAGCACGTGAAACAAGAAAAGCTGTTGTTCTTCTGGAAGTCTTGATACTGACGTGAGGGTCACACTTCAACACCCTCATCGTGACACCTGAACTGTCCTGAACCGGCTGAAATCTGGCCTTTAACACTTCTGCAAACTCTGCGTTTTCCATTCTAACCGATTAAGTTACAGTCCTCAAAAAACATATGTAGACAATTGAATTGATAAAACTTTAACAACTTAAATTTTTTTTTTAAATATAATCATATCATAACAAAACATCTTTTAACATTTTTGGTCAAACCGTTGCATAAAGGGTTTTATTTATTTTTTATTATTTCTTATAAATAGTAATACATTTCATAATTTCCTCAAGTTAAACCAGACTTTTATTTTTGGCGGTTTGTAGTGAAGACCTTTGAGTTTCTGTGCGTTTTTATCAAATGAAGTCCCATCGCGGATACCATTGGGTTCTACATGATTATCAGCCAAGACAGCAGGTCTTCTCCCAGAATTCCTTGCAGGAAACAGGAAGTGCAGCACATCCTGTTGATCAGCCAGCTGTCTTGCTTCATGCCGACTTAAAATGCATTTAACCCAGGAATATTTTAATGAACATAAACACTTCCTCCCTCAACTCGTCGAAATAATTTCATTCATAAATTGTTTTAATTAATGTTTTGAAATTGCATTGAATTTTTATTCCCTTTTTTCCAAATAAAATGCTAAACAATAAATGTAAACTACATTTTTTCAAGTTAGACAAAACTTTTATTTTGGTGCTTTTCTGCCCTGCTTCATACTGGCTTAAAACGTATTTAACCCATGAATATGAACACTTCATCCCATAATTGTGCATCTAAATTTAATTCATGTATTTTTAACAATTTAATCTATCTTTTTAAATGTAATAAAATAAAGCAAGAATTATTTCACAACAAAACTTATTTTACATTTTTTGTCAAAGTGCTGAACAATAAAGGTTTATCATTTTTATTGAAATGCATTTTCTTTAAGGTAAACAAAACCTTTCTTTTTGGCGGATTGCCTGTCTTGCTTTATACTGACTTAATGTATTTGACCTGGGAACATTCAACAAATATAAGCGCTTTACCACACAAAAAGCATTCTCGTAGCTTCGTATAATTGCGGATGAACCACTGATGCCACATGGATTATTTTACAGATTTTCTTTGCTACGTTTCTGGACTTGGGAACATTTCAGTTGCGTTGCTGTCTATGCGGATTTCATCAAAAATATCTTCATTTGTGTTCTGAAGATGAACGAAGGTCTTACGGGTTTGGAACGACACGAGGGCGAGTAATTAATGACAGAATTGTCATTTTTGGGTGAACTATCCCTTTAATCACGTTGGGATCGAAACAGGGAATCGATCAGCAGAATCAGAATTGATCGTTTAAACGATACCCAACCCTAATTTTTAATTAACTTTTTTTTTGTAAATAAACCCTTCCTGTGAATGTGTCAGGCATCAGAATCTCAGTGCGGTTTCTATCACACACCCAGTCAGGGTTTCTCCACCGAACACCCAGAGCTCCAGGGGCCTCACCTGCCGCACAAACCACTGATGGATGGAGAGCTTGCTGGTCCAGGGGCCCGTGTGGAACATCAGGTACAGGTAGGAGATGCCGGAGAACAGGTCGGCCGCCGCCAGGTTCCCCAGCAGGTAGTAGATGGGGTAGTGGAACCTGCGGTTGATGAAGATGGCCAGCATGACCAGGATGTTGGCGAAGATGACGAAGGCACAGACCAGCAGGCCCAGGGACACCACCACCACGTCTTTGGGCCTCCACGTGTCGCTGATGCTCTTCTTGCTGAGGTTGTAGAAGAAACTCACAGTCTCGTTGTCGTGGCAAACCATGGCGAAGCGCGCGATTGGACGGGACTGACTGGAGGGGAGGGGCTTCACGGGTCAGGGGTCACTCATGGAGGCATATGGAGCCGTGCACTTCGGCAGAACCAGATCTACTGCGACCGAAGAGAAACACAGAGATCGTTAGTCATGCTTTAATCGATCAGGCCGGGGGAACCGCTTCACCAATCAACACACACGCTGGAAACTCATATAATGAAACTGAACAGTGTTTTATGAGCATTAGGATTTGTGGCGTTATTTACATGACAATTAAAGCAGATTACAGTGCTTTACTGTTGGGTTACGGTCACCGGTGATTCTCATTACTGTAGGACAATTATGTACTTTTGCATTAAAATGAATATTTCTTTCTTCACATTATTGAGAATGAGGTTTTAAATTGCTGTAGTGAGAATTTGAGGCACAATGTCCATTTTATCTTTTAGATAAACACCTAAAACATGCTTTGACAAATATATTTTTATATTATAATCTGCATAAATAAAATGAAGAATGCCTTATGATGATTATTAGGATTTGTGACATTATTTTGAAGACAAATGAGAATATTTTCCCACCATATCTTGATGTTTTACCATTGAATAATTGTGATTAATGATTCTCATTACTGTAATGTAATGATTCTTTTAAAGTAAAGAAAGTATAATAAAACTATGACAAACATTTTATTTAAATAATAGGCCTAAATCTTTTCCTTTACATTAACGAGAATGAGACTTTCTTCGTATTACGGCAATACAAAAACAGCAAGAAAAAAACATCTACAGTATGCTTTACTTGCAATATACTGTATTTTATTTTAAAGTCACATAATTATAATGTGCTTAAAGAAAATGAACAATGTTTTAGCTGAGGCAAAACAGTTTAAATGTCATGAAGTAAAAAAAAAAAAGCACTTGACTTCTACATTTCGCGGCAGTTTTGTGAGATTCACGAAAGTCTTGACAAAAGATGAGAAGTCTGAAAACTGGTTAAATCACTCGCACTAGAGATCATCTGCTGTGCAGAGAAACATGACCTTTACACAAAACCAGAACAACATTTCACACCGAGCGGCGCTTAACCAATCACAGCGCACGAGTCGGCGCTCCCGCGTGCTGATTGGACGCCGCGGCTGTCAATCACCCCAGAGCAGAGGGTTTCCAGTAACGCTCCTCTATCATCTCACAAACCTCTGGTTCAACCCCCACAAGGCCAAACGTGTGCGTAACCATCCGTCAGCTCAGAAAACACAACATTCACCAGCTACTAACTAACAGTGTGTCCGAGTTTGTGAAGAAACTCAAAAGTAGTTCAGCTCGTGCTTCATGAGAACCTCACACACACACACACACACTCACACACTCTCTCTCTCTCTCACACACTAGAAGTCATACAATCTGCAGCGAGTTTGGAGGAAGTTTCATCATCAACCATAGAAACCAAGAGAAACATTCTTGTTCAACGAGCAGAGACGGAAACGAGAGCGAGACAAAGATTCGCTCTACAGGGTTTCTGCAGGATTTTTAAGCTCAAATTTAACACTTTTTAAGACCTTTTTTAAGACCTGAACAAATAAATTAATACCGCGGGGTAGGGCAATGTAGCACCATATTAAACTGTAAAAAGCATAATTTACCGTTCAGATACAAGTTTTCACAAAAATAAAGTTTTATAAAATGATAAACTTTACATTTCAGCTCATCATTTAAGAAAAAATGGATGAGTCAAAATTATTAATTACTATATTAATTTAAACAATTATTATCAATAAATTATTATATAAATTAAATAAGAAATTAGGGGTGTGCGATATTGACAGAAAACGATATCTCAATATTTTCTGGGATTTTATCGATAATGATAATTAGACGATATTTTGCTGAGTGTGTTAATGTGCTGGTATCTTATCTCTAATTGTTCTGACTCCTGATTTTTTTTATATTCTTCATATTCTGTGTGGTCAGTTCACAGCAGTGATAGAAATTAATCTTTTCCAACAAGTTTTATGGACATTTTTACCTTTAAGCAATTTTTTCTAAAACTGTGCATCATCTTTGGAGTCAAATTCTTGCATGTTGCGATTGAACCGAATCATTTAAACGCTTGATTAATTCAGGAACCAAACACTGTCATGTTGCTCAGAGACGCAAAACAGTGCTGATTTTTGTTGGAAAATAGAGCAGAAGCAGGAAATACGGTGTCTAAAACGTAAGTCTCTTAATATTAACTTCTTGTTTATTGAACTGTTGTATAAAATCAATATCACATTTGTAACCATGTTGATTTTGGAGAAAAAAAAGACACTCTTCGTGTGATATTAACTATATGAAAT